GCAGTGCTTGTACTTGAATGTCTGAAGCAATTATATATATATATATATATATATATATATATATAGTTGTACCCTTCTAGATCTTCGACCAATTGAAGATTGTGGAAGGAGTAAATTAGATGTTGTCTAAGTTGTTATGACAAGATTTTTATTTAGCTAGTTTTTTCGTCTTCTAGACTCAATACTACAAGAATGTGTACCCTCAAAGACTTATAACTAACTTAGTACCGAAGGTAGGTATTAATTTACCTAGTTTATGGCCATGCGACCTTAATGTTCTATTGTACATCTTTAATCAACCAATTAGTTTTTGATACTTAAGCTGGTCGACTTAGACTATCATTTATAGGTTGACCAAACTCATGATAGGTATAAAAAAATTATCTATGATGTAAGTCTAACATAAGATAAAGATAGATATACAACCACTCACTATTTAATAAAGTAGGATACAATAGGCCCAATATATAGAACCATTTGATGAGGAAGATAACTGAAATACAATCAGAACATAATAGAGATATGGCCAGAAAAAAGGGGGACACAATACAGATGTTTAGGTTAAGAACAAGGAAAGCCCATGAAAGTGATAAATCGAATTGGTGAGCAAAAAGTCAAAGAGAGAGTGAGTTTATTTTGAGTGCTTCAAAGAGAGAGTGAGTGTATTTTGAATTGTTAAGGTGGGATGGAGCAGCAAGTGAGTTGAGGCATATTAACAGACTAATCCATTAACTATGATCATGGGCTTTTATGATCCAAACAGGCCTTAATCCATTAACTATGATCATGGGCTTTTATGATCTGGGATGAGCACAGGCCGCTGCTGATTCGTAATATGTTCTTCTTTTCTTGGGTCATTTCACCCGTGTCAAGTAGATACATAATATTTTAATTTTAATCCAATAATATATACAAATGTGCTGTAGTTATGTTTTTGAATATTGATATTGCATATATCCATATATAGAAACTCAATTAAAGGTGGTGATTAATATATTTTTTTAATATCAAAAGCACTAATTTAAAAACTGTGTTGGAACGAATTCGTGTATTTTGAAATAAAATTTGCAAACTTAGGTTTGTATAAACTTTGTTTTGTAATCTGAGTTTTGTAAACGGACCTCCCTTTTCATTTATTTCAAATTGAATATCAAGGTACAAAACTTAAGAAACTTTTTTAGTTTTATTTGTTAAAGTAACGTTGGAACATGCTCTTTAATTAACTATGTTATACTTATGTTCTAGTATTTGTTCCCTGGTAGTCCGGAATATATGTAAATGAATGGTTTTAGAAATCACTATGATCGACTTAGTGAATTAGGGTAAGATAGATTTGACTCAGGTTTCATCTCAGTGCGATCTGTAACTTTTTTATTAATAAAAAATATTTAAAAAAATTAGCTTTCAAATAGAAATATAATAAATCCACTCTAAACGAGAGACAGACCTACGTTGTATTTAAAATAATAATAATAATAATAATAATAATTGGATATTCTTTTTTAATTTTAGAGTTATATAATAATATTTAAGTGTGTTATTTTTCTTCTCTTTTTTTTTTATAAATATTTTATTTTATTTTATAGTTTTTTAATGAAAAAAAATTAATTCTTTTCTCTTTTTAACCAATTTTTTTTTTTTTGAATATCTTCACTTTTTAATAGTAGTTTCCTTTTATCATTGTTAGGACTGTTTTAAATACTACAGATATTTATATTTATACGACTTTATTATCTTTCCCTTCATATTAATTTACATATATATATATATACTTTGAGAATTAAAAGTATTTATTAACATTTATTAAATAACTGGGTAAGCTTTTTGATATACGCTAACAAATATTTTTTTCTTTGGATCCACTCGACCCTTTTAATACTCTATTTGTTTTCCCCCTTTGCCTTTTTCTTTCGCATTAGTTATTTGTGAAACTGATAGACTATGGCCCAGGTCAAGGAATTCAAGAGGTGATACCTTAAAAGAACCAAGAGGAATGGGATGATCTTAAAGACTTTTTTCTTATGTTTGTACATATAGTAGCTCTTTTGTATAGGTTATTTTTGTCTTTCTATTTGTGAGGCACTTTACTTGCTTTTTCTAGTGTTTGTATATTGATTTCAAGGTAGGTTACTTGGAGAGTTTAACTCCATTTAACCTCCCTAGTTGATACATTCATTTTGTATTTTTTTAATAGGGAAAAGGGGATGACATTTAGCAAAGCTAGGGAGTGTGCTTAGAAATTGGGCCTGAGATGGGCCTAGGCAAAATTTTGCATATTAGACTCATTTTTCTCCTAATTTTTCATAGATTTAATTTAGTTAGGTCTCATCATCATTTGATGAACCTAACTAAACCAAATCAACAATTTTTGAAATAATTTAAAAGAGAAAATGGAGCCTTGGCCGCCTAGCTCATTTGCTTTCTCTTTGGCCGAAATTTGTAAGCTCTCTTCTTAGTTTTTGAAGCTTCTCCTCCAAGTTTCTAAACCTTGGTAGGTTGGGCTGACCTTACCATGGTTCTTAAGTGAACCATGGTCAAGGTTAGCTTCTCCTACAAGTTTTAGAAATCATGGATGGTTAGCTACACCTTACCATGGTTCCTAGTGAACCATGGTTAAGGTTAGCTTCTCCTAGAAGCTACCTCTCACTATATATTTGTAAATCCCTCTCTTATAATCACTTTTGGACATTTATGAGAATTAGAAATCAGATTTCTCTCTCATTTTCAAGAGTCAAATTCGTGAGAAACCTTCTCCTAGGTTCTCTCTCAAAGTTCCTTCTCCTAGAAGTTTGGTTCCTCAAGCTTCTTCACCTCTCTAAGAGGTAACCGAACCTCCTCAAAGGTGCTTCTCCCCCATTGAAGATTTCTTCAAGAAGATTCCGCTGATTTAAAGTGTTCAACCTCATTGAGCAAAGGTCTTGGACGTTGGAATTGTTGAAGAACATCAATCCTCTTTAACCTAGTTCCATCAGGAACTCTAACATGTTTCTGACCTTAGTGCATGGTTCCAACTTCCAAATACGATCTTAAGTAAACCTTGCAAAAGCACACTTTATATATATTGAGTTGTACTAAAAATATGTCAAAATTTATTTTTAGAGCGGTGAGTATTGTCTCACGACATCCTTCATTTTCTATTATAACAATTTGAAAGCATGTTCTTCAATTATTTTGACTACTATTGTTTGGTAATTAACATATTTTATTTTAATTTAATAGTTATAAAACATAAATAATATATAATACTTTTCTAAAGAAGTTGTGATTAATGATAATACCAAATTCATTATAATTAAGTTCATTAAATTTCTTGTAACATGTGAAATTGGTGATTAATATTTATAATTTTAGTTCTTTTAAAAATGTTTAATTTTTTGCTTACATTTTAAATATATTTCCTATTGATATTTTGTGAAATGATGACTAAGATTATTAATATAACTAACGGTTTAAAACATGAATATTTCATATAAAATACCATACATTATATATATATATATATATA